CCTTGCCTCTCCTCAGTGCTCCTGGCGAGGCAAGGGCTCTGCCGCCCCGCCAAGAGCGTTGCTGGGTGTCGGGAATTCCCTGAAATGGCTGAGGAGGCTGGTAACACCCCACTTTCCAAGGGTGTTAGCCCTTGTGTAAGAGGGAGTCTCCAGAGAGAAGAAAGGTTTCTGCCAAGCATCTCTGGGGTAAATGGCTTTCCTGAATCAGGAGAGCAGGAAAGTCTGGTGTGTGGCCGGCCATGGGACCGATCCCCTATCTCGGAGGAGCCTCCGACTCCTTGCATTGATCAATCTTTGGCGAGGGTGGAGCTGGTGGTGAGAACCACACTCAGATGCAAAGGAAAACGGTCAAACCAGCCTTTCTGGGTCTTGGCCCCGTGTGGCCCCAGGTAACCATGGACTCCCCTGGGCTGGCCCCGTTCTGCCAGTGGGATCTTGACCCACTTGACCTGATGCACAGGCTCGATGTCAGTCCGGGAAACTGCTGGGGGAAGGAGAGCTATTCGTGCTAATCTGGGGGTTTGAAGTGGTTTTAATGACCAAAGCTGTGTAAATGTGTGTACAGGGAACTGCCAGAGCTGGGTCTCCAGGTGTTCTCCTCGCCCACCATGAGGGGCTGAACCAGAACATCCTTAAACCCCTTTTGGAAATGGCAGAGTGACGTTTCATTTGGGGAATAATTTGCATGAAGAGCTAATTTGATTGTTAAGTGAAGCAAGTAATTAAAGGTAAAACACACCCCCAAACGCTTGCTCATTCTTAACCGCCGAGGCTTTGTTAGCCATGACATACGGGAGCAAGCTGGGACAGGCCCTCGCGAAGGTGCTGCAAGGGGCGTATGGTGCTGCTGCTGCCCTGGAGCAGCTCTTCTCCCACGGTCCCAGGGACGGCCGTGCCCACAACGTCACGGCAATAAACGCACCCTTAGCCTGTGAAAGACTTACAAAAGTCTTTCCTTTGCCAACGTACAGTAGAGTAAACTTTGAAGGACCTCACAAACGGGCCCTGTTCCACAGTCTCGGCAGAGCGCGGGTGGCTATGGCAGGATGCGCTTTGGGCGGCTTCCCTGCCTTCCTGTGAGCTGGGGGGTCCTCTCTGGAGAGCAGTGGCCTCCAGCTCTGGGTTGGGTCCTCACTGGACCTAACTTAGACATTCAGACGCTGCTGGGGTCATCATCTCTGCCCCCCAGCACAGGCACGGGGAGACCCTCCCAGGAGACAAGCAGCTCCCATCTCCTCTGGCAGGAGCTCTCTGCCAGCCTTCTCTCTGCCAGACCCTCTGCCTGAGGGTCTTCAAGGAGAGGAGAACCTGGCTCAGAGGCTCTGACCACCTCTGGTGCTCACCTCAGCGGCGCACCGCTCCCAAAAAGTGCCCTGACAAGTTACCAGCTCTCTGCCGTGTCTTGCTAGCTACGAGTGATCTCCAACCTGTTTGAAATACTAATAGCTGTCAAGGAGCGCAGAGCTGGCAGGTGGGTCACCACGGCACGTCTCCTGCCTGTAACAAGGCAGGAGACTGAAGTGTTGCTGCAAGTGCTTCCCTGCTAGGTAATCGCTGCTGGGCTGCTGCCGCTCGCGGTGTGATTGACAGGTGATTGACAGGTGCTTTGGCAATGTGGCCCTTCAGACAGAGGAGGGAACGGGGGAGTGGGACAGGAGGTAGCCAAAACCCTCGTGCTGGTCCAGGGACTGCTCTGCCGGGTAACCTCCAGGTTGTCTTCCCCTTCCTGCTGTTAGTTGTGTGTGTGGTGGTCTAGATGCGATAAACCATATTGCTTGTTAAGGCTGTTAAGAGCTGCGTTTGTGGAGTAATTCAGGCTGGAAGGGACCTCTGGAGCTCTCTGTCCAAACCTCTGCTTAATGAAGTCAGGCTGCTCAGGGACTTGACCAGCTGAGGTTTGAATATCGCCAAGGATGGAGATACCACTGCCTCTCCTGGCCAGTGTGTGACCACCCTACATGAAAACCTACTTTCTTTATATCTAATCAGGATTACTCTTGCTGCAACTGGCCTGTTGCCTCTCACCCTTTGGGCCTGGATGCGTTGTCTCTACAACACTTCATTAGGCAAATGGAGACAACCGAGGATTCCCTCGTCCCTTTCCCCTTCTCCTCCCCTTCTCCAGCTGAGCAAACCCAGCTGTCCCTGCCTCTCCTTGCCCATGGCATGCTCCGGGGCCTAACCGTGACCTTCCTCGCGTGGCGGGAGTGAGGAAGAGGAGAGCACGGCAACCTGCGGGCAGCAAGTCCAGTTAAACGTGCCAGTGGGTGATGAGTAGGCAAGGCAAGCTCACGAGCGGCCACTGTGCTGAACCCAGCAGCCTTGACGTCGCTCTTGGTTAATTACTAACTTTTTTTATGAATTATCAGAATCAAACTCTTGCTGTTGAGTCCCTTTCCAGAAACAAGCCCAAACCAGTCATGCACATGCCTGTTTCCAGGAAGGATATTGATCCTTGAGGCTGAAACTGCAGGGACTGATACTTGCCTCCGCCCCTATGGATCACCGTGGCCTCCTGGACGGCGCGATGCTGGGGTGCGTGGGGTTCTCCTTCGCCGAGGTCCTGCTGAGAGTGGTGAATAGCTTCTTCGGCCTCAAACTGCTCCTCGTTTTGTAGGACAGAATTGGCAGGCACAGGTTTCCATGGAAACGGAGCCATCAATACCCGTAGTGTAATAATGACAGCTTTGCACGGCGAGAAACACTTTCTCATTGTTTCTAACTTGCTGCGCACGCAAACAAACGGAGTTCAGCAGCACCGGCTTCCCGCCAGGGCTTATTTGCCACAATTAAAAGAAAAAAAATTCAACTCATTTTTGTTGAAGTATAAGTTTGGGTTGCCTCAAAAAATCTCAATTCTCCTGAAATCTCTGCTGCAGCCCAAAATGGCTAATCGATTGGGAAAATTAAAATCGACCCTTGTTTAAATGAGAACCTCCCCTGCATGTTCTTGGCAGCAGTTAGGTGTCAAAAAAGTCAAGATCTATAGTTGTGTGGAGCAGCGTGCTTCCTTGGGGAGAAGGAACGAGCGTTTCTAGCTGACTTCCAAAATGAACACGAGTTTCTTGACCTGGATGGGGAGCTACGTCCTCAGCGGGAAGCGGGCTGCCTGGTACCACGACGCAGCCGTGCGATATGGCACGGCACAACCAGCAGGTCAAATGGTGTTCCCGTGCTGATGAAATGGCAAAGAGGTCTTCTTTTGCCCTGGGGACTGCACGTGTCAGCTTTGGCAGTGTTCACTTGGAGTCCTGGAACTAGGTGGTATCATCTGTTGAAGTTCAGGTGGGTGGGCTTCATAATGGGGTTTGTGGCAGCCTCGAAGGTAGCAGCCTTTGCTGCTGAAATAGGTGCTCTCAGTGTGGCTGGCCTCCTTTAGGCGTGTTAGAAGGATAGGCTTGTTCATGTAGGTCACCTGGAAGGATCAACCTTCTGGTAAGGTCACGTTGTGTTTCTTCTTGACTCTTCTGCCCTTCCTTGGATTTTCCAGCATCATCTCTGAAGTGTGGACAGAGGACTGTTGGCAGTGTTTTGGCTTCCGTGTCACAGATGCCATATATAGAAATAAACCTAATTCCGTTGTGTCTCCAGTATTTCCATCTGCAAGGATTGCATTTGCTCCTGTTGCCACAGCTGCTCTGCTGGAGCTTGCGTTGAGTTAATTGTCCTCTTTGATCTCGGGGCAGAGGACAGCAAATACTTTCTTATCAGCTTTTTAGAGGAAAATTGCATTTTTAAATTTTTCTCCTTAGACTAATTTAAGGTTGAAGGGGGAAATCTGGAGGTCATCTGGTCCAAGCTCCTGCTCAGAACAGGGCAAACGTTCAAGTTAGATCCAGCTTGAAACAGTTTTCTCTTTCCTTAAACAAATCCCACGAGTAATGCACTTTTCTGGCTAGTGGTGTGCTTGGTTTGGGATGGCTCGGTCCGCGCTTTCCGTGTTGCCCTTTCAGTAGGTCTGCTCCGCGTTCCTAGCTGCACGGACAGAGATTTCACTGCTTTCTTGCTTATTCTGAAAAATAGTTAAGTTACCTGTCTCTTCTCCCCTCTTCTGTGAGCTGTATAAATGACTCTTTAGAGCTGTCTGAGGCAGAAATCACAAACCAGCCAGAAAAATTCTGATGAAGCAACGTTGCTTTTTTTTTTTTCTTTTTTTCTGGTCTCCATAGCTTGGCAAATCCAAATAAAAGGCCTCGGAGCGAGACCGGCGGGGATGCGAGCGAGCCGGGCCGGGCTCGTTCCCAGCTCTCGCGGGACCCCGGGGGAGATCAGGCGGGTTACAGCCGCCTCCTTCCGCGCCTTGGGGGAGGGACGCGGGGGGCTGTTAACGGCAGAGAAACGGCTGAAAGCCTGAATATTACAAAACGGGATGGTTTGTCCCTGCCTGCCTCTGTTAAGCAACTCTGCTCGACGTGGGACCGCTCTGGCTAGCGCTGCGTGGATGGCGCCAAGGGTTTGGCGCGGCAGCTGAGACGCGGGGTGCTTTTCATGCCGCTCTCGCTCAGCGGTCCCAGGGCACGGGCTCTCTTTCGCCCTCCTGTTGCTGATTTGCAATGTATAGCCGTTGTGCATTTATTTCTGCTGATAACCCACAAAAGGCACAAAATACGCTCCTGAGCGCATGGTGGCGAACGGAAGCGTTTCTTCAGCTCATGCTTGTTTCTAGGTTGCGATTCTGTTCAAATGAGTGCCAGAGGGAATGGGGATTAGAATGAAATGAATGTTATAAACCTGCAAAATGTGAACTGTGAAACAGCAGATAATGAAGCTAAACGGCATGGTCTAAAGAAACTGGATTTCCAGTCCAAGTGAGCTCGAGGAGCAGCACCCCAACGCAAGCTCTTTCCCAAGCTGGGGGATGTTAGAGCCTCTCTTTGCTTGCTTAAGAAAGAACGAATTTAAGGAAAGGGTCTTAGGAGCCAGCTGCAGAGGCAGCCACAGATTGCAGCAAGCAACCACTTTGCATACAGATGCTAAACAAAACGCACAGCTATTCCATGATGCAGCGAAAGAAAAGTGTCGGGGGGGAGAAGCGCTTAAACCGATTCGAGTGGAAGCAAATTACAAAAACTACACTAAGTGCAGTAAAGGCAAGTAAGTAAAGCGACACGCTGGCATCAAAGGCAGAGCAAAACTAATTACGTGCTTAACACTGGAAAGAGGCACTGGCAAATCTGGAGGTATTAAGTATGATAAATATGTAAATAACTGCAATCTGCCCGGCTCGTTCAGACAAACCGGTTGGCCCCCCCGGCGCCCAGCTCCCGGCCCCAGCACGCTCTTGGGGGCGGTGGGACTGCAGAGGGGATGGGGACGCGCAGGGATGCCGGAGGGGGC